ATAGCTCCATTCTGGAACAGTGGGCGAGCATAGCTCCATTCTGGAACAGTGGGCGAGCATAGCTCCATTCTGGAACAGTGGGCGAGCATAGCTCCCTTCTGGAACAGTGGGCGAGCATAGCCCCATTCTGGAACAGTGGGCGAGCATAGCTCCATTCAGGAAGAGTGGGTGAGTGGGTGAGCATAGCTCTGTTTAGGAAGAGTGGGCGAGCATAACTCCAGGAAGAGTGGGTGAGCATAGCAATTTCTTTCCAAAGTGTGATAGACAGAGGGATCAAAGGCCATGTACTGGTACCTCGTTGATGGGCTTTTAATTTTATCATCTTTATAACTGTTCACAAACCCGGCTTGTGGTGGTACACGTCTTTAATCCCAGTACTCAGGAGGCAGAGGCAGGTGGATCTCTCTGAGTTCTGGTCTACAGAGTGAGTTCCAAGACAGCTGGGCTACATGGAGAAATCCTGTCTTGAAAAACCAAAAAATAAAATAAGCAAATGTTCACAAAATACTTTTGTATTTTATAGGATAAATCTTTTAAAAGAGAATATACCTTAAAAATGTAGATGGGCATACTCAAGTTGTCCTTCAAAATATTATTTCTACTTCCCGAATCAGTGTATAAATGTGCTTCTTCTCTGCTCCTCAGTACATAAAAGCTTTTCTGAAACAGTAGTCGGCAGAGGGCGTATGTCTCAATAGAGAGGAGGGGTAAAGGCCCAAGCAGGCAGGTGGACACATGGCTCCTCATAGTGGGGACGGGGCCAGGGGTGCAGCTCAGTTGAGTGTTTATCTAGCATGCAGAAAAGCCCTGAGTTCAGTCCTGGCCCCATATAAACCAAGTATGGTGGTGCATACCTCTAATCCCAGAACTCAGGAGGTGGAGGCAGGAGAGGGGAAAATAGAAGAAAAAACATACCAACTAAAAACCAGAAAACAGCTACCTAGATGGGCATGAGGGAAGGGCAGAGCACACAGCAAGCTCCTGTCTGGTGAACTGTGCAAGTGAAGAACAGTGATTGTGATGGATTTGAGTCCCGTTTGAGAACACAGGTCCATTTAAACTTAGCAGCAGACCCTTGGAGGCCAGGTTCTTTATACATGCTTTTGTACACACACTTTTCTTCAATCTGCCTTCCAAGAGCTTCACCTAGGACCTTAATAAAACATCTACAGAAACATGTGTCTGAAGACGTTCACCACGGTCTTGTTTATTACAAGAGAGCTCTAGAAATGACCCCACAGTCAAGTGAGTGGTAAACATGTTGGTGATAAAATTCTTGCATGCTGGAAAAATCTTACGTAAATACTTACCATTTCTAAAACTGCTTGGGATATATGCTTAAAATTTACCTGTTTTAATTAAAGCCAACTATTGGTGCTAGGTATGATTTAAAAAAAACAAACAAAAAACAAAACAGGACACAAATCATAGTTTGTCATTGTTGGTCTGTGGATCTGAGCTTGCAAATGACCTCTGTCTTTTGTGCTTATCTTTGCTTTCTTCATCTGTTAAATTTTCTAGTTAGAGATGAAAAGACTGTGCACTTGGATGCCTGCATGTCTTTCTCACCTGCCCCATCTCCATCTCCATCACTACAGCCCTCTCCAGGCCCACCCCTCACAGACCGCTGCCTCTCAGTTCTAGTGGGCACCATTGCTTGACAGGGTTTTCCTTTGTTACTCCACTCAGAAGCCAAGCTCCCTGCACTGGCTGGCATCCCAGATCCTTCCTCTCTCGCTCCAGCACTGAAGTCTGGTGGTCCACACCTGGTTGTCTGTCCTCACTACAGCACCACACAGCCCTCTAACCCCATCAGCCACTTAGCTGTTCTGATCATGGCATACAGTGACACTTCAGTCCTGCCTTACCGAGTCAGCTGCCTCCCATCTGTCAGGGCCCTCACACTGCAGTCTATGCTCTGAGCTGCAGCCATCACTACAGCTACCTTCCAGTCCCGATTTTTTTTTTCCCAGAGCTGAGGACTGAACCCAGGGCCTTGCGCTTGCTAGGCAAGCACTCTACCACTGAGCTAAATCCCCAACCCCCAGTCCCGATTTTTTTGGAGGGTTCTGCCTCCTTTGGTTTCTTCCACTAGGCCAGATATGGACTTACAATGCCTGGAGCCTGCACAGAGTAGGGTTTCATGCAACTCTGTTGAACTGACTGTTGCCTCAGAGCCCTCTAGAATCATGCCAGGAGAATGTGTGAGGTTTTGGCACACAAGAATCTGTTGAATTACACATATGGTGCATCACATTTGTGATTATGTGGCATAGAAAGTGCACATATTAAATATACGCTTTGCAAGCTTCTGTTTGGTGCCCAGAATAACTGTCTTCCAGAAGCAACTGGTAAACATTTGAGTCTGAACTTAATTTTGACAAGTCTCTGGAAAAACGGATTCTATGGAAACACAGGTGTGGCCTGCAGCAGACAGCCATGGCTGATCACACTGATGCACTATCTGTGACACTCCTGCTTAACAAAATGGCCAGTTGCTTATCCTCAGTATCTAGTTCTATTTGTGAAGCAACAGTATTTCAGTCAGGAGAAGGTGTGTTCTTGTACAGCAGGCTTGTTTTGTTAACTTCAGGCTGTCTTTCAATATCTCTTTTCTTGTCAAGTGAGTGGTTTCCACATCTCCCCTTCTTTCCCACTGTGCACATGACTGTGTTCTCTGTGCGTCATCTCTCCGCCATGCTGTCCTGATGCTAATGAGGCATCAAGGAGAAGCACTAAGCCCTCTCTAGCATCCTTTGGTCGGCTGCTTCCTGTGTTTCCTTGTGCTGAGTGAGCCTTGTGTTGATAGACAACTTTCCTGGTGCTGCCAACAGACTCAGGGCTCAGGAGGTTGTTGGTGTAAGTGAGAAGTCTTGCATGAATACAGTTCCACACTAAAGCTGCCTTCATGGCTGGCCCATGCCCCTCCAGAAGATTGGTGCCCCTCAGGCCTAGTTGGACTCTACATCTTGTATTATTGGCAAGACTCTTTTAGAAAGTGACGTTTGGTATGACAGCAGATATCAGAAAATCCTCCTTGTGTTGGGCTTGGCTGGGAGTGTGGACTAATGGAAGGTGTGGTCAGTAGACACTTCTCTTTGAACTTCTGTCCATATTTCCATCTGTCTGTCCGTTCTATCACCCACCTTCTCCCCACACCTGGATCCTCCCTGAGGCACCTGCAGAGACACTGGTGTGTAGTGGGGCCCAGTACTGTTCTGCATGGTAAGGGCAGCGTCTGTTCCTCTTCTCTGCATTGTGTATGCTAGAGGAGGCCGGGCAGACACGGGGCCCATCTGGGCTTGGGAGCCACAAGGAACTGTCCCTCTCCTGTGACCCTAGGCCATGTTCTCAAAGCTGCCTGTCCTCATGGAAATCCTGCAGTGATGGTGGGCAGAGGGTGATCTGGGCAGCCTGGCTTTTAACCACTTCTCTGGTGTGTGTGTATGTGTGTGTGTGTTTGACTCTACAGGTCAGTTTTTGGGTCGTACGAGAAATTCTAACAGCACAGACTTTAAAAATAAGGGCAGAAATCCTGAGCCATTTTGTGAAAATAGCCAAGGTAAGCTGTTTGTTTGTTTATTTCTCAAAATATGTTTCCTTGGAACTTTGGCAGGTGCTTTGCCTTGGGCCTGCTAGATATGGGGACAGGGGTCCCCACCACAGGTGGAAGGCTGTGGCTGGACCTCTCCAGGCAGAGCCAGTTGTGAGAGCCGCCTGGCTGCTCACACTTTATGTGAGCCTGAGAAATATGCCCCCTTCCCATCTCATAATTCTATGGCCAGTTATTCCCCTTACTTGAACTTCAGTCTCTGCATGTGGCCCAGGGGTCCCTGGAACCCATCCATTCTCCTTTGAGTTTTGCCAGTGCTAGGGGCTGACAGGTTGTCGTTAGCCCCATGCCTTGATCTAGTTAGGTCCTGCACAGTTGTGTCGGTCATCAGGGTCCCTCACACCCATTCTGAGCAAGGGCCTGGACCAGTTGACCCTGCGCCCCTCTCATAGGCTCTGTCCATGCCGCTCTCAGCCTCCAGCTTCCCCTCCTCTCTTCTCATCTGTGCCGTGCTGTGACGTTCCTGGACCGCTGTCACGCTCAGTAGCAGTACCTTGCTCCCGCTACCTGGGCCTGCCGGACTCTCCTTGGCAGCACTGTTCTGCTTGGCTCATGGCTTCCTTCAGGTGCACATCTGTTGTCCCCCCCACCGTGATCCTAGAGCAAAGCTGCCGGACTCAAGGCCCTCCACTGGCTGCCAGGCCGTGTGGCAGCGCTGTGCCAGGGTGACGAACTCATTACTGAAGGCTGTCGTCCCATTGGTACAGCAGGGAGGGGTGGTGAGGAGAGATGAGTGTCCATGCTGAGGGCTCCAGCCAGCCAGCAGAGCAGGACTCACAGCCATCTGCACCCTCAGTGGGGCTGCTGCGCCTCCCATCCCCAGAAGCTTAAGCAGTCTCTAACTGCATCAGGGGCAGAGTCACTGTCCTGTGGAGTCTCCAGAAACACTTGGGATTGCTGCTGGATTTTGTGCTGCTTGAGGGTGGGCCGGTCAGAAGAGGATGCTGGGCATGCCTCAGTCCTTGTAGGGCTGCTGTTTGGAAATGAGCATGGTCCCCACCCCAGGAGCCCAAAACGACCCCCTAACCTCTGCCCTCTCCCTTAGTGAGGCTTGTCATGTTGGCTGTGCACCATGTGTGTCTTTGGTAGCCTCCCTCTCCCTGAGCGTTGGTTTTCCAGTCTCTAAAAGAGAAAGGGACAGGTTTGGTAATCCCCGAGAGGCCTTGCCACTGGAAGGAAAGTCTGTGGCAGGCACAGCAATTCAGATGTTCGGCTGAAATCTCCCTGGGAGCATCTATTCTTACACACAGGAAATAATCCAAGAGTATTACAAGATGTCTGAAAGGAAACACTAAGTTTGTGTGGTCAGGGCCCTGTTTCCAAGTAGGAGAAGAGCTGTAGGGTCAGACCCAAAGGCTTTTATTGATTTATTTATCTCGCCCACTGTGCTAGGCTTTGTGCAAGGTACAGGTCTGTGGTGGTGGATAGCACTTCGTCTGCTCTCACAGGACACACATGGGGGCACAGGCATTTGAGAACATGATTCGAAAAGGCCTGGTAGGGGAAGGGCTGCCTGAGGCTGAAGGCACCCAAGACAGTCAGTGAGAGAGTGGGATGAGCCTTCCAGATAGAGAAGACGAGACCTGCCCAGCTGGGCAGTTGACATGTTCACCTCAGGTGGCCAGAGGCCATAGTCACCACCCTGACTTTAACTCTGGGGACACTGAAATGCCGAAGGCCAGGGTAACGTACCAAAGGAACACAAGAAGGGGAGCTGGATTGTGTCCATAGAGTCTTGTTGCTAAGCCAGGCTTCGCTGCCCACTAGGAGTGAGAAATAGGACCCATCCATTAGCAAGTATGCCTCAGCATGAAAAACGAGAACAGCTAGTTTCCTGCCCTGACTCTCTGCTGTCTCTTTCTGTGGCCCTCTGTGGTAAAGAACTGCTCTGAGACTGAAGTGACACTGTATGTCCTCACTCATTTGGGGTCTGGTTCAAAGGCTTACAGTCAAGGGCCTGGGAATCCTGCGATTGCCTTCCCAGCTGAGAGCCATTACACAGATTGATAACATCTTCCCTGGCCTCTTTCCCATCCAGGGTTAAGGTAACCGCTGTGTGAGCTGCCAGTGCGGTCGGCACACTGGGGTCTTCTCACAGAAGCCTGTTCAGGGTCAGCTATAAAAACATAAAGTCCAGTCTCAGGCCTTGCTTCTGTCCAGCAGTCAAACAAGTCAGATTATGAAAATTGGCAAGTATTTTTTTAGATGGAGACTTACCTTCTGAAAAAATGGGAGGGAAAGAGCATATGTTTCCTATGAACTTCCTAGAACTATGTTTTCTATGTGAGATATTTTAAGTGTAACTGAATTTCATAAATATGACAACATTTGGCAACACTCAAGCATGTTTTTGTTCTGTTGTCTGTGGCAGCAAAGTAATATATTCCATATCTTTTTGTTTCCCCAGAAACTTCTAGAACTCAACAACCTTCATTCTCTCATGTCTGTGGTATCAGCATTACAAAGTGCTCCCATCTTCAGGCTGACAAAAACCTGGGCTGTAAGTTAACGTCCCTCAGACTGACCTTTTGATTTTGGCCATCCTGTACTTGCCGAGTGTCTACGTGGCTTAAGCCCTGGGCTTCTCTCACTGAGTGTGTGCTTGGTTAAAGACAGTCACTGGGAGCTAAGGAGATTCTCTGGGCATCCCCACAGCCTCAGGGACCCCAGCCTCACTTGGGTTCCAGGGATTGGGGAGGGAGCTGGTGTGGCTGGGTCTGGAAACCCTCAACAGTTCTTCCTGGGCCTGTCAACATCATCTGTGCTGGCTTGGCTCAGCATGTGACTTCTGCCCTTGGCTTGGCCAGTTTTTTGTCTCTGGCAGGCTCAAAATTGCCCTTGAGAAGGTTTGGGGATTGATGGCCTGCAGCTGCCCTGGGTCACTGCCTTATAGCTCAGAGTTCTCTGAAGAGACCTGTGACCCTCATGTAGGAAAAAATGATTTCTTTCCTTTTGCTTCCTCTTTTTTTTTTCTTTCATCCTGAGGCCTTGGATAATTTCAGCTCAGAGGTGGAGTCTGATAGTTATATAATTGAGTCTGTAGGAAAGTTTTTCTGCTGTAAAAATACTTTAAAAATATCTCAGACCTCTATCCTCCTTAGCTGGCACAGTGCCTGACATGGGAGAAGTATTGCTATTTCCATAGCTCATTAGTGTTTACCTCCTGGCCTGCCTGGTCCAGAATCTCTCACAGGGCCACAGCCCAGGCCTTTCAAGATCTGTTTATGACCCCAGAACTGACAGAACTGTATGGAATTGCTAGACATGTTTCTTTGACTGGTTTCTGACTTTGTTTCTGCCAGGCTGGGGCTGGACTCTGTTTCCTACTTGACTGGCTCAGGGTCCTTTTAGATGCACAAGGATTGTGTTGTAGGCAATCGAAAATGAGCCTTGCAAGATACCTGGCTGGAGCAGAGTGCTGTGAGAAGTACCAGCCTGGAGTCTGGGAACCAGGTTTCCGTTCATAGGCCATTCAGAGCCTGGGCCTCCTTTCCCATCTCTGTTCTGGACAATTGACTTGGGGTAGTGGGTTTCTGTCAGTGCTTTGTGGAGCCCCTTCCAGTTGTCTTAGGGACCATCCGGAGCTGCAGGAGAGGAGTAAAGGTGCCAACCAGATGACCCAGCCTCCACCAGAGCAGCCTGTTTGCATCTGGGGTTTCTGGGTGAATTGCAGATGAGCCATGGTTTTGGAGGTCAAAGCAAATTTGGAAGCTACTGTCTCTGCAGTTGCTGCCAGCCCTGTGATTCTAAGGCCATCTCAGCAGTGAGGCTTTTTTCAGAAGGTTTTTGGAGATTCTTTTTAAAATGACTTTTCCATCATTGAGATGCTGTTACTGTTCTTGGGCTGCTGGGAGCCATGCAGGCACCCAGAGGGCTGAGCTTTGAATCTTGTGTGCATTGACCTTCTTGTGGCAATGCTATGACTTTGGAGGGGGGGGCTCCTTGGGGAGGTACAAGTGAGTAATGATAGTAGCTGAGGTGATTTCCAAGGCCTGCACAGAAAGTTGACCTACCTGGGGACAAGCAGGACTCTCAGTGAAGTGTTGTCAGTGCACCCAGAGGGGCTGTCTGCTGCTAGAGCTCTGTGGACAGTGTCAGGCCAGAGCAGCATCAGAACTGTGTGGTTTGTCAAGGGCGGCTCACTGGGCTGGGCCCTGCAGTTTTGGGTCTCTGCTGTAGTGAAAATGAACCCCCCCACTTGGGGAGCCTGGACCAACCACTCACCCCGGACTGCTGTCTCTGCCACCTCGGGGTGTGTGGCTGACAGAATGTAAGGAACTGCAGCCCCATCCTACCAATGATCAGGAGCCTTGGGGGCCGCAGTCACCTCTTTTCCTAAGAAACCATCCCACTTCGTCTAAGGGCTGGCAGCCGGGCTGCTTCCCTGGCTGCAGAAGGCCACTTGCCAAGACAGAATGTGGGAAGACACAACATTCTAGGGAATAGAAATGTCGGGGGGAAGGGAGACAGCACCACTGGGGCACAGCCTGGTCCTGCTGGACCCTATCATCTGGTTGCCACTGTGTGGGTGCTTGTGATGGTGGAAGGTGTGGCGACGTCAGGCCCACGCAGGTAGGACTGCATGCTGCTTACCAAGTGTCTGACCCACTGCACGTGGCTGAGCCACTGAGCATGCTTTGCCTCTTGAATGTTGTCCTTGAGAGTGCACTGAAACCCTGGGTATCTGGGAAGCCTGAAGGTAAGGCAGCAGTATCTAGGTATGGGAGGAAGCCTGCTGCCTGGCTGAACTGTGTGCTGCCTTTAGTTCTGGTTGGCCAGGCCATAGCTGGGCCAGGGAGCCTGTGAGCCTGCCCACAATAGGATCTAGATAAATGGTGGCTGAATCCATAAACAGGGAGTCATGGTCAGCCTGGAAAACACAAGAAATGACTGATTTATTCCAGAGGTGGGGCCACTTTGGAATACTGCCGCCTCCAATCTGTGAGGCCTAAGCAAGAAGCTGTCCCAGCCAACTCTGATTCCTGAGCACACAGGAAATCACCTTGTAGCCCTCAATCATTCTGCAGATCAAATACCTGTCGAATGTCTCCTCCAGGCCATGGCTCAGGCCTTGTGCTCATGGCTTTCATGTTGTCTGGGAAAGACACATCATCCCATTCTTAGAAACTAGCATGTGCTTCCTGGCTGGCACAGAGTGAGCAAGGAACAGCGAGACAGGAGTAGAGTCAGACGGTGGCGGGTGTAGATGGAGGGGGATGGCAGCTTCTGCACACTCAGAGCAGTGCCCCAAATGAGGCCCTTTAGGCCAGGCTTGAGTGATGAGAGCAGGAGCAACTGCAGAGGGTGAAGGGACGGCGCCAGCCGGTGCCCAGGCATACAGGTAGAACTTGGTGTTGTTAAGGGGCCCGCAGTTCCGTGTGACCAGCTCAGCCTGGGAGAGAGGCTGAGTACCATTCTAAGTGTCAGAAAGGCTCTGAACAGGACATGGACACAGTCTGTTTAGTGACTCTTGCTTTTTGGGTTCTTTAATCACTGCTACTAATGTGTAGAAAACAAATTAGGAGAAATGGAGACCAAGGGGTGTGTGCAGAGAGATGGCTCAGCGGTTAAGAGCACCGGCTGATCTTCCAGAGGACCTGGGTTCAATTCCCAGCACCCACGTGACAGCTCGCAACTGTCTGTAGCTCCAATTCCAGGGGATCTGGCACCTTCACAGATATACATACAGGCAAAAACATCAATACACATAGAATAAAAATAAATAAATCTTTAAAAAAAAAAAGAAAGAAAGAAAGAAAGGGAGACCAGGACTAGAAACCAGGGGTCAGTTAGTGAGTGAGGGCGGAATCTGGAAATAAGTGTACAAGTGTGGCAGGGGGCTCAGAGGATAGAGCGATGTACAAAGCATGTTCTGAGGAGAAGGCTCCAGGAGGTACCGTGGATAGGACGTTGAGGGGGGAGCGGTAGGAAGGGGCACCCCCAGGGTTAGCCTGAACAGCTGGGAAGCTGTCAAGATCTCCTTTACGACCAGAATGATCCTGGGAAGAGGCTGGCTTATTCCTGAGATATTTGGGCCATGGCATTTGTGAAGTGTCGGGGAGTCACCTATTAACATTCCATGTGCCACACGCATGTTCTGCTTGCCCTGTGCACATGCCCAGAGTGATTCTCTTTTTCCTACTGAATTGATCCAGAGTATGACTCACTTGCAACAGCAAAGTGAAAGCTGAAGTCCTTGGCATGGAGGAGATCACCACTGCCAGGCAGGGGCAGGTCTGTAGGGTGTGACCTGGAAGGGCACCTTACAGGGTCACTGTGATTCTCGCTCTCCCATCTCCAGTGAGCAGGGTCACCGAGTGCTGCACTGCAGAGGACAGCTCTTCCACCTAGGCCTAAAGCGACGTGGCAGACACCTGAGGCTTGCAGATGTGTGCATGTGACGCTCTTGTCCAGTCACTGCTGCTGCTCCCCGTGTCTTTAGGAGCACTATTGGCAACTCCCCTGTGACGTGGCAGAGGAGGCTGGGGGGAGCCTGGGCTGCCAGGCTCAGATGGCTTTGACCCTGATCTAGAGGGAAGTTGAGCCGGGTGAGGCGGATGAGGAGGCGGGAGGCCGGTCACTGCTCCTGTCACCGTGCAGGAGCCGACCTGGAACTGCTCTTAGACATGGGCAGCGTCGGGGAAGCTGACGTTCCCCTCATCTGCCCGATAGTGCCACAGCACTGGGCACTGCCCATCCTCCACATCCTCCACAGCCTTTTTCCCGGCTGAGCTTCCCTCCACTCTCTGACGCTGACTTACTTGGTTCTGCAAGGTTCTGACCTCAGTCCTCACTTGCCGTTTCTTCCCTTGGGGAGCATACGCTTGGGGAGCTTCAGCTGTCCCGTGTCATCCAAGCCCGGACCTCTCTCCTGAACCGCACACCCACTGCAGAGCCTGCTCCATTCGGCCCTCACCCCGTCCCCTTTGACCTCATACTCCCTGCATGTCTGAAGTCAGACAGTGACCCCAGGAAAGAGACCGAGTGCCAGGACACTCTCCTCACAAACCGTGCTTTGACCTTTGGGCAAGTGGGAGCTGAGCTGATAAGGAGTGAGGCCTTCCTTCCCTGTCTCCTGCTGCACCCTGTGAACGCAACAATGCCGCATAAACTGTAGCCATGTTAACACAGCAGTAAGCAGAGCCGCGCTGCAAGCCAAGAAAGAGAAGTCAGCGTGGGCTAAAAATAAAGCATGCTCTCAGAGCCTGAGCCGTGACCTGTTAAGATGATCCAATGTGACTAGGTCTTTGCAGCTAGGGCCAGGACTTGAGGGGACAGTCCCAGCTTCGGGCCCCACCACAGGGGTGCTAGAAATAAGCTGCTTCAGCCATCTTGTCATGTTACTCCAACAGAAACTGCTCAGCAAGAGGGCCCAAAGTGAGGGAAGAGGCCTATGGCAGTGCTCATCCAGCCTGTACCTTGTGTGGCTATGCTTTGGGGTCTAAATGCATTCAGCCTGTAAGTGTGAGAGGACCCAGGCTACATAGAAGAAATGAGAGA